CTCAACCATGCTCCAAAATGGATGACTGTGAGAAGTAGAAAACTTAATATTCCAGGATAAGATGAAAGAGAATGACAGCCAGAGAGTGCAAAAGAGAGACCAAACTCCTTTACCTCAAGTTAATTATGTGATTAGCACTAATGTGATTGGTGCTACGGCGATGGTAAGTTTTGTGTGTTTTCCTGTAGGTACGTGGAGAAGAATGCTCCTGCCTTGCTTAGGTTTTCAAAGGACTTCTGGAGGAAAAGTGGTTCTCAGGTGTCTGGAGGACTGCACAGTGAACCAGGAGATGAGACACAGTACCACAGATAACCATTGAGGGCTGCTTTCTGCTGTCCGCTTGGCCTTTGGTGGGTTGTGGAATTCAGCAGCAGCAAACATGGGTTCTGGAGGGCCTGCTCAGGGCTTGTATGCTGGATACAGAGATGCTGCACTCTCCAAGTGGGGATTGTAGATGCTTGCTCCCTCTTGCCCATTAAATATCTTTATCTAATTTAGTAAGAATAATTAAAGACTGCTGCTGTTTTCTTGATGTCAAGATCCAATTTTGAATCAGAGTTGAAGAGGAGTAAAATAAGCTTTCTCTGCTTATCTTCCATGTCCCTATTCTAAGGAGTCAAATTACACTAACACCATACAAAATACCCTGGCTTACAGAAGTGCCAGTATGCAGCAGTACCAATAGATTCGGCTGGCTGTGAGATTACTTTAAAGGCATCAGAAGCAGAGATGGAGGTTCTAGATATTTCCTGACATTGAATAGATGACACCAATGCTTCTGTTTTGGCAAGGATGGCTGCAGAAGGGCCAGAAAGCTCCAATCAGAGATGACAGATTTTCCTCAAGCAATCTCTATCTTTAGTCATAATGGAGGTGAGGAAAAGGGTATGGATCATCTCTTGCATTAGACTGGCTTTATTCAGAACTATGTCCTGCAAAAGTATCAATGCTGAAGGACTGTGTTTTCATAGAATCATAGAATCCTACGGGTTGGAAGGGACCTCGAAAGATCATCTAGTTTTACTTAACACTTCTACAGCAGACAAGGAATCTTTGGACTGAGGAGCTTCGGGGTATTCTAAACGGGGTAATAAGGGTAACTGAACTAAGCCTCCTGTATTGCATTTCTAAGGACCATCATTCTAAGAAACATTTCTCACACACACTCTCCAGCAATTTGCAAGATAACAGTCTCTGAAAATACTGTGGGCTGGCCTTGGAACACCATGTTTGGTACACTGAGATCCAAAGAGGGTGTTATAGCCAGTTTTGGGACACAATTGCAGAGCTTGGAACTCTTGTTTTTTTTATCTTGGTAGGACTAAAATGTAAATCAGATCACAGAATCATAGAATGCCAGGTTGGAAGGGACCTCAAGTATCATCTGGTCCAACCTTTCTACATAATACTATAGTTTACAGGAGGTGGCTCAGCACCCTGTCAAGATGAGCCTTAAAATTCCAGTGTGTGGGAATCTGCCACTTCCCCTGGGAGACTATTCCAATGTTTGATTGTCCTAATGGTGAAAAATTTACCTCTTGTGTCCAATAGGAATCTCCACAGGAGCAACTTGTGACCATTAACCCTTGTCTTTTACATGTGACTCCTTCTAAAATAGGGAATCTCCATCTTCTTTGTAGCCATTCTTTAAGTACTGGAACATGGTAATGAAGTCTCCCCTAAGCCTTCTTTTCTCAAGGCTGAGGCAAACCCACTTTTCTCAGCCTCTCCTATTACAGCAGGTCCTCCAGTCTGCTGACCAGCCTTGTGGGCCTTCTCTGGACCCTCTCCAGCCTGTGTGCATCCTTTTTCTAGAGTAGGGACCAGAACTGAATGCAATACTCCAGGTGTGGTCTGACAAGTGCCCAGTAGAGCGGGATGATGACTTTGTCTCTGCTGGTGATGCCCTTGTTGATCCAGCCTAGCATCCTGTTGGCTTTCTTTGATGCTGCAGCACATTGTTCACTCATGTTCAGCCTGTTATCTACCAAAACCCCCAGACCCTTTTCCACAGGGCTGCTCTCTAGTCAGGTTGATCCAAGTCTGAACTGCGTTCCTGGGCTGTGTTTTTCCAGGTGCAAGACCAGTCAGGCTCAGAATCCTTACTGAAGTAAAAAAATAAATGGCATCCAAACCACTACACTTGCAAACAACTATTGCACAGAAATGAAGGGTAGCCTTTGATGAACTACTGAAATTGTTTAAGTGTAGAATCTGAAAGACAACTAAGAAGGATATAAAATTATTCAAGTTATGTGAGTAACTCAGCTATCTTCATTTGATTGGTGTTTTTCCCCCTCCCTGAGAAAGAGGAAAACAAGAGGGAAAAATCAGCCAACCACTTTACTTACTGCTTGATGATAAATGATGAGCAAAAACCAAATATCAATTTTTAAGACCTGTAAGACCCATTTTACTATACTTGATCCAATTTATGCAGCTAATACCTTATGGCCTGTCTTACTGTAATAACTGCATGAAATAGCTTTGGTCTGATCATACTATTGCTACATTTGTGCCTACATTGAGAACTTTCTGTTCTTAGATGAAAAGTCAAACAAAACCACCAATACAAAAGGATGTATCAGCTAAAACTTGTATTTAAGATAATGCAGTAATAATGCTTTACTACAGAGGAGTATACAATATTGATTTACAGGGAATTGCATGTGTCTTGGAGCCAATTCAACAATTATTTTATGCAAGCTAGAAAACAAAATATAACATAATATTATGAACAAGAATTCTAAAAACTGACCTTATTCTCACTTGATTTTTTACTATCTCTGCTCATATGAGACATTAAAAAAAATCTCAAGCACTTCTTTTCCCATTCCTTTGAGAACTACGTACATGGCTCTCATTAAAACCCATTAATATCTAAAGTGGTGTGTATAAAAAAAAAACCTTCATGGATGTAGGGATGAAGCACAGTAGCTTAAACCACCTTAAATAGACTAGAGGTTTCCTCTACCTGCCTGAAATACACAGACTTGTGTACTCCATGAATATAAACAGATGGAATAACTGTAGCAGGTAATAGGATAGCTTGACTAGCATCTCACTCTCAAAGAAGCAGGATTCTTCTTGCAGTCTGCGGAAGAATGCTGTGGAAGATCAAGATCTACAAAGAAGAATGTATCTACTGTAAATCAATTTCTACCACCTCCAATTTTATTATGATTTTGTCACACTCACAACCACACATCCCATGCCTCTCATCCTCAAGAAAACATAGTAAAGGGGGGGGGAAACACTCAAAAAGGATTACAAAACCTGAAAAAAACCACATATAAACGTGTAAAGTTTTATCTGTGTTAATTTTCTTCCTCTAAAAAATCTATCCAACCCTCTAACAACACACAGCTTCTTTAGTACCACACTATATGTAACTTTGCTGTATGAATCAAGTGGCATGTATCATTACTCCACACAGGTTTAACATAAAGCTCTACATGCAGTCAAGACATTACAAGTAAAGCCATCAATTTGTACTCACGCTCTCAACAAGCTTATTTAAAGACATGGAAGAAAAGTCTAAATTAATTCAAAGACCTAATTTATTAATACTTACTTTATTACTTGATTATATTATATGTAATTTATCATTACTTAATTTTTTTAATACTGACTTTGCTTTCCATGCACTGGAAGGTGCTAAATAGCACAATGGCAGATGTGAAACAGGTGGTCTTTCAAAAAATCAACTATTTTAAATCTAAGCAGTGTCTTTTTAAACAGCTTTCTACCATTTTCACTGTGCAAATTGTCACTAGATATGCCTTGTAAGAAGAACTGGTGCACAAAATACTCTTGAATGTTAAATGATGAAGCCAAAACTGCATAAGAAAAAGAATGTTCTGAAACCTGGCAAAATTCAACAAAGATTGATCAAGCCTAAAAATAGTGGATTCTTGGGTTTTCTGAAAACTTTTCTTCTCTTGATAATTAGAATGCAACAGAATTGCATAATGTACAATAGATGGCACTCGTTACACCACTACCAATAAATAAAGCAATAAGTTGAAATTAAAAGCCAAACAGATTCTGAGCTCATGATTTAAACAACTTATCTTAATTGAAGAAATAAAAACTTATTTACATTATCCTGAGGAAAGCACAAATCTTTTGTCTTACAGATTCATAGAAACAATTGGAGGGAATATCTTACTTTATGATCCAAACCATCAGTCAGTAGTCACTTGATGCCTCCTTAACTGCAGCAGTGCTTAGTTCAGTAAGCTTATAAACTTTTTAGTAATCAATCAAGTGCAGTAAAGTCACGCTAAGTTCCTATATTGAGTGTAAAAAAGCATTGACCTATAAAAGGCAACTGAGATTTTTCTAGTAACACTAACCGCAATGGAAGTCTGAGAACCCTTCAACAGAACCCCAGTGACAGAACCTATTCCATTCTTCATTCTTCTCTCATCACCGATAAAGCAAAACCCAACACCCCAACAGAAAACTAACCTACCACCCATATCCAACATGAGCCCCTTTCAGTCCCCAAAGACCTGCCAGAATTGACAGCTCTTTTTAATTCTGAGCTTTTACATTAGTTTGACATTCTGATTCAAATCTGAATGTACTGCTTCTCACAGCCAAACGTTTCACATTATACAGCTAGGTAAAAATGACTGGATACCAAGCTAAATGAAAACGAGCCCACTTTGCCACTTCTTTTGCAAGAGAAAAGTAAAGTTTTTTTGTGAACAGGTTTTCAAACAATCACAGGCTACAGACCACTGAAAACAAAAACCTGTCAAATCATACTGCTTCATCCTCTTTGCTAAATAATATTACAGAAAACTAAAATTCTCCTGTGGTTCCAACAGGTATGTTACAGTAAGTCAGATATGATACCCACAACAGTATAGCTTCAAACATCACAATAGAAAAAAAAATAAACTATCATACACTCATACTGAACAGAAGTTCAAATATTTGCATGACAATAAAACCACACAATATTGATAGTTACTTTTGTTCCAACTTACCATTGAAAGGCATTGTAATGGAAGTAGACCAAACCAAGGCCATATAAAAAGGCAGCATTCTGTAAAGGAAAGATACAATGTTTAAAACCCAGATAAGACAACCATATGCTGTAGGACTGAATTTCTAGTATTTTGTTCATCCTTTGGCATTCTATTTCCATTGTAAGATAAGCATAGTTAAATTCTACCTTAAACAGGAGGAACCAGAAAGAAGGAATTAAAAGATAGGCAGACATTTTAAAAGAACAAAAGAAAAAACAACCAAACAAAACCAGAAGTTATTCTTCACAAAAATTTATACCAGAATTATAACAACAATAATATTCAAGTACTTTTACATCAGAGAGTCTGATGGGTTTTTTTATACTTGTACAACAGCAGGGAAGGAAATGAAAGAGTAGAGGTCTTTGGAAATTTAATATAACAAAAAATGTTTTATGACTGAAAACCATTTCATAGTTGTAACAATTTATACTCACAAAAAAAAGTAAACAAATCTACACACTCCAATTTCAGTGTATAAAGCAGAACATTAATTATATGAATCAGAAAATATGCTTCAGGAATTTTCACTTTTCTGAACATCAAAAATACAGACTATCAGTTTCAAATCTAAGACATCCATATTTTTTCATCGTTAGTCCAAATTCTATTTTCTATTTCCTACTTTGCAGAAGGGAAAAAAACACACCACACCATTCTCCTTTGTAAATCCATTTCCCTCCCATTTTCTTTTCACAGATTTGTTTCTAAAGTGACACTACTAAGAAGGTCTAATGAATGTCTAGCTATTCAATTCCACAAATAATTATTACGTATTTCCTAAATTAGGAAAAATAAACAAATGGCTTTTTCTTTTTAAAAGTTATGCCACAGCATAGTTGTTTTCTTTCCAGCAGAGCTATTCCATTATTTACAGGAGACAAAATGTACATGCTGCCTATGACACATCTTTAGGCTTTCCTTATATATAATTCTAGTTTTGAGAGACCAGAAATACATCCCAAAAAATACAAAGCTCCAATCCACGGACAAGAGATGAAATTTCTATTGTTGAAGATCGTAGCTCAAGATAATCCCTCTTCCATTTGCATGCACTTCTTCCAATAAAAAAAATAAATATCTGGAATTCCACAAAAGGAATCATAGTTATGCCTTAAACCCAATCCAAATATAAATGTTATTAACAGATTTCTCCTAGAAAATAAGTGGTAACCAAAACACCATTCAAAGAGCTACACTCATCAGAAACAGGACCCAGTATTACTATTTCATTTAATCTCATCTGCATCTTCTAAATGCAAAATAAAAAGAGGGGAAATGCTAAAGATCCCTTCATGAATACAGCTGGATCATAGCTTCAGCAACGGACAACTTCCAGGAAAGTGCTGTGGTATGATGGAAGATGTCAACAGGGGAGTGGAAAGGGAAGTACATAAACAATAAATGAATACACTTCAATACTACCATAAAACCACATTTCTATTTAATTGAACAAAAAACCAACATGGATATCAGAAAGATAAAAGATCTCTAATTCTGTGTCCCATGTATTTCCTGCTTCCCAGGCATGCCCAGGCAACAACAGACTAGGAAAGCAGGCAAACTCAAAAACTGAGAATACATAATGCCTTGATTTAGAAGTAATTGTAAACAAAGGACAGAGAGATTTTCACATCTATGGAAGCCCGCAGAATAAAGCGCATATCTAGCTACTAACCATCAGTGTGCTCAAGCCAGGATCATTTTAAGAACAAAAGTTAACAAACTGTCCAGTGATCCACCAACTGCAATCAAGACTAGGTCATTGTAAAGATTTAGAATAACTGTTATAACAAAAATCTTTCATCACCACACTGCAAAACTCAAGTGAAAATATGCCAGACAACTAAAAACTCTTCAATCTTCAAATAATTTCATTTCCGCTACTGAAACCTATTAAAATGCATAGTCCAAAAGAATTACAGATTTGGAAGATTAATTTACCTGATATTTTGATCCTATAGGTTAATACACTTTGAAGGCACAACAGGACCAAGATGTAGGTGATTTGTCCAAATGTGATTAATATACCAAATTCACATTAACCTTCAGGCTGTCCCCACCCAAATAAAATACAAATTAACCACTAGTGCTCTGTCCTTTGTCCTATGACCTCTCATTCTCACTTGGCCTTACAAAGCATTTGAGAATAACTGTAAAAGTCTCTGAGACTGCTACTTTCTTTTCAATAAAATACAGAGCATGATTTAATACTCTGTATTACTTTATTTCAAATGTAAATGTAAATTCTGCAATGTCAGTATGAATCATACGTATCTGTTCTGAACTATTACAGCTCTATCCATATGTAACACCATTAATATTGTCTATTGATTGTTCATTAGATTCGTCTTTATAGAGGTTAAAAAATCCCGTGTTTTCTCCAGTAAATATAATGGTTCTAATTTACTCTCTCCTACTCAGAATCCTGTTGAAAATAACTGATGAGGTAGAATTCAAGTCTACTTTTCTCCCTTCAAACATTATTCTGTAAGACATAGAAAATAAAACTATTTTATTACAATGCTTTCCTTGAATGTCTTAACAACCCCCACACTTCCTGCATGTCTCATGCTAACAAAACTCATTCTTTGGCTACTAACTTAAAATATGTATTTTTATGATAGCAGCTCTCTCTCTTCACTAAATTCTACAGTAAATTTAAAAAGCCACAAACCTAAACAGACCTTACCTCAAATTTTAACCTGAATGTCTGCATTGTTTCATTCTACAGGGATTATATTTAAAAGCAGGCAAACTAGAAATACTATTTCCAAGGCGACTGCTACACTTTCTGCGAACTACTCAAAATGCTAAAATGTTTCATACCAACCACTAGATGGCTCAAATACCTTTTTCCATTTCACACGCTAACAAAATTTTAGAAGATTGTCAAGATATATTGCATATTCTGCTACTTACATGCACTATTTAATGCTGAGCAACATTTTCAATTGTAGTTTACAAAATGTATAAGCTATGGTATTTTATTGACAGGTTAACTTAGAAGGTAAAAATACATATTTATGTAACTTTTTACGTAACTGAGATGAATTAGCATGTTGAAGAATTTTTGGTCTTACTTATTATAAGCAATCAATAAAAAAAAAAATTAGCCTACGAGGAAAACTCCACTTATCTCACAGTCCTTCTGCAGTAACTCATATAGCTGTGTTTTAGTCTCTTTAAAGCACAAGATGGAAATAGATCCCCAGCATTTCATGTGCTGTCTTCTCTAGCTATTTCAGGCCAAGTTCACAACAAACCCTTTCGCTCCACCTTCAAGCACACAGCCAGTGCTCCCAGCAGAAAGACACCAGACTATACCATCGGATTCACACTTTATTTATAAACCAAGGGGGAGAAAAATGCACCTGTCCTGTGCAACAAGTGGCCATACATGCATTCAGACTTAAAAAGGGCACATAGTTCCCAAATCCGAGTCCAAGTATTTTTCACCACTAACACGTTTACATGCCACAATCAGTTGAGACCATGTTACAGACTAAACTTGTGTTTAATAAACACAAGGAAGTGTTGCCAATAAGAATCTGTTTGACAGACACTTCCTGATAGTCAATACAATAGAAAAAGACACTAAAGAGCCAGTGCAGCCTAAGGGCAGCATCCAGTAGGAGTCTTCCAACTTAAAAATGAAAAGGAACAGTTTTTGCCATAGTTTCACAGGATTGCTGATTCAGAAACAATCCCTAACACTGCCTCTCATTTTTGCTGATACAATCATTTGTAGAGTACTACAAACAACTAGATGCCAGAACTGATCTGAGTTATTAATATCCAGATAAAAAAGGATTATTTTTAACTGCATCAGTTTCTCAGCCAAGTTCACTGCGTATCCCCCCCCAACAAACGCATTAGCAGAAGCAAAAGAGAATTTAACCAAAACAAGTAACAGCTCTTTAAGCCTACACTGCTACCAACAAAACACATATGAAACCTACAGTGACTTTTCCAACAGAGTGAAATCCTATATGAAAGATTTATACAGGTAATGTACATTAAAACAAAAAAACCCAAATACTATATTACCTCCTAAACCACAAACAAATGTTCAACATGAATGAATACAGGTTCTGTGGGTCAGTACAAAATGGATAAAAACACAAAATAACATCATAGCATTTCTGTCGGCATTCACCATGCAGTCAGTCCCTCTATCAGTGAGACATGTAGGCTTATACACACCACTTTTTCCTTAAGACTCTAAAGGGCAGGGCAAGATGTAGGTATAATAATCCCTTTATTTCATTAAAAAGTTGGTAATATTCAGACAGAAATCAGTGCGTATCCCAACATACCACAAAATTAAAAATAAAAATACACAGGAAAAGGAAAGAAACAATTCCCCATGCAGTTTGGTTGGTGTAAGGCTGAAGGAAAACTCTGGAAAAAAGATCAAGTTCAGCACCCTTATGAGACTAGTGATTGTTTTTCACTTGCTTACTACTGCCAGGAATCAAAGCCTTTGATGACATATTAAAATTTCTTCCAGCAGGACTCTGAATGCCCTTCCACAGCTGCCCAAGTTCCAGAGGAAGCTGCAGTCTGGCCTACATCACACCACATACGTGGGCAAGGGGCCACTGCTCTTTAGAAAACCTAACTAGGAAAACAAGATTTTACAGTTTACATCGCATCCTGTGGTCACAGGGTCTCTCAGCCACCTGTTCAAAGCAAAAGAACAGTTTCTGTGTTTAAATGTGTGAATATGTTTATTTTTTTCCTGAAAAAAAATAGAAAGATGAAGTTTTGACAGTATGGTACCTAATACTTCCTTCTGAAACTATTCAATATATAATGACAGGTCCCAGGAGAAAATATATTACATAAAAAATTACATTCAGGCTCTTGTGCATAAACAGCTACATGCCTTTGAGAGCTCACAAGCTCTAGCTCTTCCAGTCACAAAGACTGCAAGTGTTCAGGAGAAAGAGGGGAGGGTTCAAATACAATTTATTTAGATTTGTTCAAACATGAAAAAGAGAGCTGTCTATCT